TATATATTTAAAGTTGAAATCTGTTTGTCTGTCTGTTTGTTTGTCCGATCATAACTCAGGAACCCCTGGATCAATTTGTCTCAAATTTAGATTGGGGAACTCGGAAGGACCACGTGACTGTTCTTAGCTTGGTTTTAAGATTCTAGGTTGAGTGAATCAACTTTATTAGCTAAAATATAGTTTCCCGGTAAAATCGTTCAAGTGCGGGTAAACGGCAAAAGTAACTTTTATTAGCCTTGGCAGCACTGGGTTCCCAATCTGGTGGTTTATAAAACATCAAATGTACATAAGATGACTAAAATGTCGTATTCCTTATTTTTGCTTCAATGCAAATGTAAGATCATCTTTTTTCTCTGCCAAATTATTAAGTGAGTCACCAATACAAATAATGAGACTGTTAATGAGTTACCAAACTCGTTGAATATGACGATCCCAAGGCTAAATTAAGTCTTGTGCCTTAAATAAAGTCTTTTCATAGATTGTTAAATGAGTTTGCAAAGAAAAAAAATAATTTTACTGTTGCAGAGAATTGTGAATTTAAGGTATACCGACTGTATAAATTCTGTACAGTTGTCAGCTCTGAAGTCATATTCTTTTTAAGTAACCTTGTATGTCGATTAACAACTATATGCAATATGAATGGTAGTACACCAACTTTTGCCATTAGATCGCAAAAATCTTAGAATTATAGGTTGTCATTAACGTCTCTTCTTTAATCGGTATCTCCGTAATTTCTATAAAATAGTGTATATTTGAAACTAAAAAATAAAACCACTTATATGACCTCACCCCCATTATTAAAGTTTAATATGAAGTGCAAGGCGTACCCTTCCTACCCCAACTACCATCTGTTTTTAGAGAGACCCCACCCACACCATTGAATCTAAATCTGACTACCTTTACTAACCCAACTACCATACTACCGTTGGTTTTTAAAAAGACCCCATCCCCACCCTTGAAGCAAATCTGAATGGCAATTACCCTTACTACCCCAACTACCTTTGGTTTTTAAAAAGACCCCATCCCCACCCTTGACGCAAATCTGAATGGCAATTACCCTTACTACCCCAACTACCCTCGGTTTTTAAAAAGACCCCATCCCCACCCTTGAAGCAAATCTGAATGGCAATTACCCTTACTACCCCAACTACCTTTGGTTTTTAAAAAGACCCCATCCCCACCCTTGAAGCAAATCTGAATGGCAATTACCCTTACTACCCCAACTACCCTCGGTTTTTAAAAAGACCCCATTCCCACCCCTAAAGCTATACAAAAGCATAAATGTGTGCAGTGTATAATTTTATCACCCCCTATTGTACAAACGTATATGTATACAAAACTTCCTTAAAAATGTTAGCGTCTGAGAAATTCTTCTGAAAGAGGGATTCCATTGTTGGCATAATCTAGAGTTGAACAAAGTTGAATTACACAGTTTATCATTTAGATGGAAACATAGACCGGAGAGGAGGGGGTGGAGTATAAAATTCCTGTTTTTGGACTTTAAACTATGTACCTTTCAATAGGTGGGTAGTGAGGGCAGTTGAGATCCGAGAGTGTGAAAAATGTCAAATGAAAACAGTTGATTTAGTCTGTATAATAGCTTCAGGGTGGGGATGGGGTCGTTTTAATAACACAAGATAGTTGAGGTAGTAAATGTATTTTTCATTCAGATTTGGCTTCAAGGGTGGGGTCTCTCTAAAAACCGAAGGTAAGGGTAGTTGCCATTCAAATTCAGCTTCAAGGGTGGGGGTGGCTCAGTAATTGGGGTAGTAAGGGTAGTTTCCATTCAGATTTAGCTTCAAGGGTGGGGGTGTGGTCTTTTTAAAAACCGAAGGTAGTTGAGGTAGTAAATGTAGTTTCCATTCAAAATTAGCTTCAAAGGTGGTGGTGGGGTTCTCTAAAAACAGACGGTAGATGGTAAGGGTAGTATGGAGGTGGAAGAGTGTTAATGAAGGCAAAAAACAAACTATTTAATCCAATCTATTTCTCTTTCTTTATATCCCTACCAGATTCCGAGCAAAGTTATCTCATTAAATAGCGCCTATAATTACAAATTTTTCCATTTGCTGATTGGCTGTTTCGGATTTTTTAGACGCCACTCTCTTTTAGTTGAATTTTACACACTTTTCAGAAAACAAACTTGAGATTCAATCAGTCTTGAGATTAATAAAATGAAGAGATCAAGCATTGATCTCAATACAATATCCATAATTCTTTAGTCTTCAGTTTAGGAGAATTAGACAGTTATTTTAGTAAAGCATAAGAGAAAGGAAAAATTATGTAAGAATAACTATTTATAACATCACTTTTATTTTTATAAGTTAGCATTATATAACAGGATTAATCTTTATAGCACTGCTAATAGGAAATTAATTAACCATGATTCTGTGGCAAAATAATCAAAATATAATTGGCTTTTCTGTTTGTGTGTTTCTATCCAAACAACAGCAAAACGACTAAACTAATTGGGCGCACATTAAAAAAAAAATGTTGCAAATCCACCAATATGACCAGAAAAATTCTCAAAATTTAAAGTTATGTTCTCTTCGATAATAAGCTATGATTATTGCTTTTTGATACAAAAAAATCATATATCTCTTTGATAAGATTAACATGAAAACTTCAAGAATTCTGTAAAAAAAAATGCTAAATAGAAATGAATATTGTTGAGATTGTATAGAATATTGTATGTCGAAATATGGAACTCCAATATGAACTGGAAAATATATTCAGCAACCACACAAAAAAAGAAATCCTACAGTTGATGTGATCAATTATTCCAAAGGAATTGAGCCTTTTCCACAAACTCTGATTTTCTAATCCCTCTATCTTTGCAACCGAATATCGCAGACCCTAGAAATTTTAAAACTTATAAATTTAATTGGTTAAAATTATTATTTTTCAAACGGAAAAAAGAACCAACATTTTTCCTGAACAAAGATTATGTGACAAACTTTTTAAAAGGATAGTTTTTTTTTACTGAAAGAACAATTTCTTTGAACGATCGAAATGGTTGGGAAATGAGCGATAATTTTGAATAAACGAAATAGATGGGAAATGAGCGATAATTTTGAGAACAAACAAAATATTTTTTTTAACGACTGGAAAAAAAAACTTTCAAAATGGGTCGTTCACGAATGGTGAATTAACGAAATGAAAAAAAAACGATCACGCCCATCTCAAGTTTTGGTCAAGGAATAACTAAAAGTAGTCCTTGGCTACAGCTACCTCAGCTCATGGGTTTGATAGGTTGGAAGGGAGTAGGACTAAGATGGAGAAGATGTTTTGGGTCATCATCATTTTTGGTTTATGGATATTCTCAAAGCGTAATAAACTTTTACAAATGAAAAATTTCTATTAATATAATACGCAAAGAGAAAAAAACACATTTACACAGAAAACAAATGATTTTGTTTTCTGGAGAAATCAAACATGACTTTTTTACATAACTTATTTCATTATTTAATGTCGCATTTTTAAAAATGTGTCTCTCGTCTCTAAATTCAAATTAAAAGTTTTTAAGTTTTCTAAAATTTCTGCGAGCCTAAATCTAAATAAATCGCTCAATTCCAAGTTTTATATAAAAGCTCATCAATAACAAAACTTAGGAATTTATTTTAAACTTCATAAAAACTGTAAGTACAGCAAAATTCAGTAAATTTTTTAATTTTAAGGAGAGGATGGAGGGAATTTCAAAGGGAGGATGGAGAGTATTTCAAGGGGAGGATGGAGGGTATTTCAAGGGAAGGATGGAGGGAATTTCAAGGGGGAAGATGGAGGAATTTCAAGGGGAGGATAGAGGGAATTTTAAGGTGAGGATGGAGGGAATTTCAAGAGGAGAATCTTGAGGACGGAGGGAAAATTTTTGTTGACTTTTAAACTTATTCAAATGTGAAATTTATGCAGTTGTTGTTTTCTTAGATGCAATTTATTTAAAATTTGCTTTGGATAAATTTTAAATTGCTTAAATATATTCATCCCATTCTTATTCTTATTCTTATTCTTATTCTTATTCTTATTCTTATTCTTATTCTTATTCTTATTCTTATTATTATTCTTATTCTTATTCTTATTCTTATTCTTATTCTTATTCTTATTCTTATTCTTATTCTTAATTATTAATTATTTATATGTTATCCTAAAACTCCATCCTATACTAAAGTTCACAGTGTAGGGGTTGCAACCTTATCAGTTGCATATTTGTAAAGTTTTATAAATCCATTCTCTTATTTTTTATTCAATCTCTAACAGATAATGCCGGACCGTGAATTTATATTTTTTAACTAAATTAAATAAAAACTGTCATTACGGCAAAATACAGAAATTTTTCACTCCAAAAGGATAGTGCAGGGAAAACTTGTGTTGCCTTCTAAAATTCAAATCCTTTTCCTCTGTCTTTTGTTTATTGGATTGTTCTAAGTCAAAACTTGATTCTAAAAGTCGTCTTCCTATTCCAGAGTTTTATGGCTCCCACTGTACAAACTGTTGAAAATAAATTGATCCAGACCAATACCAAAGTTCACTGTGCACGGTTCATGATAGGTTTTTCATTCATTTTTTTCCTAGGTTAATATTAAGTATGAATGTTAAGGTTTTAAAGATGGAATTCTTTATCTTTTTATTTAAAAAACGTAAATTTTACGTTTTTAGGACATTTAATAACTGAAAAAAAAGTTTAAATGTGTTTTGAATTAAAGATTATATCATAAATCATGTTTGCGTAAAAATATATGAATGCAAAACCTCGGGCAAATCAGATATTTATCTATGGTTTGAATCTGATGTCTGTCTGAGATTATATTAATCAGAGAACCGAAACAAAATTGCCCAAAAATTATTAGTATCTGCAGTGAAATAAAAAACAACATTAAATTTCAAAATAAGTATTAAATATGTTTTATTCTTGATGATCTTTTCTTTAAAAATGAATATCAATTGTTTTGCTTGGTCCTTTGTTAAGTTCTAACTAGTATTTAGATAAGCCTGTTGCACTCCTGACTTTTTATCAGTAGTTGTTTGAATATGTTGCAGAGCACAAGTCTACTTGTTGTAGCCTGGTTAACCAGTGGAGTCCTCTCAACTCAAGCTCCTATTATAGGTCGGTAAATGTACACTATACACTGTACAGGTCTACTTGTTGTAGCCTGGTTAACCAGTGGAGTCCTCTCAACTCAAGCTCCTATTATAGGTCGGTACATGTACACTATACAGGGTACAGTTCTTCTTTTAGTAGTTCGGTTAACCAGTGGAGTCCTCTCAACTCAAGCTCCTATTATAGGTCGGTACATGTACACTATACAGGGTACAGTTCTTCTTTTAGTAGTTCGGTTAACCAGTGGAGTCCTCTCAACTCAAGCTCCTATTATAGATCGGTACATGTACACTATACAGGTCTACTTGTTGTAGCCTGGTTTACCAGTGGAGTACTCTCAACTCAAGCTCGTATTATAGGTCGGTAAATGAACAATGTACACTGTACAGTTCTACTTGTTGTAGCCTGGTTAACCATTGGAGTCCTCTCAACTCAAGCTCGTATTATAGGTCGGTAAATGAACAATGTACACTGTACAGTTCTACTTGTTGTAGCCTGGTTAACCAGTGGAGTCCTCTCAACTCCAACTCCTATTATAGGTCTGTACCACTGTCCAGGTCTACTTGTTGAAGCCTGGTTAACCAGTGGAGTCCTCTCCACTCAAACTCCTATAATAGGTCGGTCATGTACACTGCACAGTTCTACTCGTTGTAGTCTGATTAACCAATGGAGTCCTCTCAACTCAAACTCGTGTTATAGGTCAGTACATGTACACTGTACATTTCTACTTGCTACTTGATTAACTAGTGGAGTCCTCTCAACTCAAACTCCTATTATAGGTCGATAAATGTACACTGTACACTGTAGAGTTCTTCTTCTAGTAGCCTGGTTAACCAGTGGAGTCCTCTCAACTCAAACTCCTGTTGTAGGTCGGTACATGTACACTATACACTGTACAGTTCTACTGCTGCTTGCTTGGTTAACCAGTGGAATCCTCTCAACTCCAACTCCTTTTATAGGTCGGTACCAGTTGGCACATATATACTGTACACTGTACAGTTCTACTTGCTGGTTGGTTAACCAGTGGAGTCCTCTCCACTCAAACTCCTTTGGTAGGTCGGTACATGTACACTATACACTGTACAGTTCTTCTTTTAGTAGCCTGTTTAACCAGTGGAGTCCTCTCAATTCTAACTCCTATTATAGATGCACTGTACAGTTCTACTTGTTGCTTAGTTAACCAGTCCATTCAAACTCAAACTCCTATCATAGGTCGGTACATGTACACTGTACACTGTACAGTTCTACTTGTTTTCTGTTGTGGAGTCCTCTTAACTCAAACTCCTCTTGTAAGTCGGTTCTATCCAGAGATAAGAGAGATCTATTATAGTGCTAGTTACAGCGGGATTTGGTGTGTTCAATGTACAATTGTACATGCCCTATAGAGGTGCCAATTAGATGCTACATACCCATGTCTGGAATATATACATTCGTCTCTAAGGTCTCATCCATTGTGAATAATCCTGTACATTCAATTTATTGATTTTTATTTAAAGAGCTTTAGTTTCCAGTAAGTTGCCTAGCTAGTATATATATACATATAGAGTGTCCAATCATAACTTATAAACACCTTGACCGATTTGCATCAAATTTTGATTAGTTAACTCGTAAGAAACACGTTAAGAACCGTAAAATTTTTCCATGCTTCTACAAAGTTTAATATTTCAAATTAAAATACGCGGATAAGCAGAACTGTTTTCAAAAAATTCTTTGGCAAGCTGAATTTTACTTATTAGTAAGTTTATTTCAAATTATCTATTTTTCTTCCGTCTTTTGTAGTTCAGGAACTTGTAAATAGATATTTCATGATAAGAAACAATCGTTTGTTTATTGTATAACTACAAAGTTTTAAAACAATTATGAATTATATCTTTAATTTTTTAGGAATTGTCAGCCAAAATCTTCCTCCTTCTAAGGACTACTTATCACCTGGAGGTGGGAACACGAATAATCATTATATTAATAATAATGATTATAAATTTAAAAAAAATTATTTTATTTAGGAAGTTACATTGCTAGTAGTTATGTGAAGTGGGTTGAGGCAGCAGGTACTATTACCGATTCAAAACGGTACCCTTTCAACCATTTATCTGAGTTCTAGTGTTGAAGATACAACGTTTTTCTATCGGGAAAAAAAATGTGTCAACTGCCTGAATTATTTCGCAATTTAATTTAATATATAGAATTCTTTTCTTCTCAATTTTTGAGATGTTACAAAGGAATTTTTCTTCATTTTTGATTAGCAACGAATAAAAAGGACTTTTTAAATGCGACAATGCAAAAATCATGCAGTACATTTGTTAAGGAGGCAGGGTGGTTCCTCTAATTGCTGGAAGTAATCAAAATTTTACCCAGGTCAAATCTCTATCCTCTTTAATACATATTCAACAGTTAGACCAGAAAACTGTTAAATAGAAAGACGAAATTAAAGCAATAATTAACTGCAATTATTGCTGTTACAAAGTAAATAGTTTTGCTGGTTACTTATTACATCACTGATTACGTGTAATGGGTCTGTTCACACTTCACATTTGATGTTTCATGTTTTTAGGACTAATTCTAAAAGTCGAATTTTTCCAGAATTTTTTTTTGTTATCACCGTAGCGTCCTTCGTGATATACTTTGCTTGTCTGGGTGTCTGTTTGTTTGTATCCAATAAATGTCAAAACGGCTGAACCGATCGGGCCCAAATTTTGTGTGGGACTTCACATGTCCCCAGGAAAGATTTTCCTCAAGCAAAATTTTATTTTCATTAAATTTGAAAATCCACGAAAATTTACTAAAAAATCCACAAACTTTTTTGTTTTGTTCTACAATCTACACAAAGAGAAAATGTTCATAATTGAAATAGACTAAACTAAAAGCCTAGTTGATATAAACTGGCAATGTAGATGATTAGCAAAAACTAAAACTTCCTTCTGATTTTTCTAGATTTTTAAAGGTTAGATTTTTAAAGGAACTGTCGCTTACAATTCACGTGACCATCCATTTCGATTTACAACGGCACACGTGAGTGTACCACGTGGTTTTTGGGCCGACAGGCTTTACTTATACCCTAAAATTTTTGCCAAAAAATTCTTTTAATTATTATTTCTTTAAAGTCAAGAAATAGTGTCACAAATGAGAGTGCATAGCTGGCAAAAAAAAGTTTGGTGGCAGCGCTAAACTGTCATTTAAAGGTTAAAGATCTCAAGCAAAAATCTATGAGAATTTTGCCAATTACTTCTGAATAACCATAGTGAGAAAAGCATAAGTGAGTTTCAGCGATAAAATCAAAGCCCAAGGCATTGCGGCACTTCAAAGTCGACCCTGTCTTAAAAATTGATGAAACTTGTATAAGCAGGCTGAATCTATGTTGCGCTAAACGACCCCTGCATAGCTAGGGTTAAACACGCGTACGTCGAACAATATAATTAGGAACAAAATTCAACTATTTTTTTTCTGTCAAGTTGTTTGAGAGTATCAATGGTGTTCTTATTCCTGGAGGAGCCGCTTCATTAACAGATTCCACTTATTCGGAGTACTTTTTTAAAAATTTTATTTTCATTTTTATACAGTCCGCTGTCGACTGTCTGATGTCAACTGTCTGCTGTCCGCTGTCGACTGTCTGCTGTCCTTTGTCAACGGTCTGCTGTCCACTGTCTGCTATCCGCTGTCAACTGTCTGCTGTCCTTTGGCAACTGTCTGCTGTCAACTGTCCACTGTCCACTGTCCACTGTCCACTGCCCAATGTCCACTGTCCACTGTACAATGGCTGCTTTCCATTTTATAATTTACTGTTTATTTGTCTTATATTGTTGTATTTTAGGCTTGCAACAGAAATGTTTGAGCTAGCCAAGGTATGAAATTTATTCATTTAATTTATTTCGTAAAATATCGTTAATTTTGGTATTTTCAGGTTGCCAATGATGCAGGGGATTTCTTCCCTATCTGGGCAACTTGTTTAGGATTCGAATTCATTACACTCGCTTCTTCAGACAAAGAACGACATTTAGCTAGGTACCGTATACCATACATATTTATGGTGCAGTCAAGGAGTATGGAATAAAAGGGAGATAGAACTGACGCGGCCCGCCCTACCATGATTATACATGCTTTGCAGACGGTACTCCATTCGTATAAGAAATATTCAGAAAAGGTTATTGTATTCGCGGTCATTCTAACAAATATTTCTTATTCAAATGAAGTACCGTCTGCAAAGCATGTATAATCATATGGTAGGACGGGCCGCGTCAGTTGTATCTCTCTTCTATTCCATACTCCTGGGGTGCAGTGTTTTTCTTCGTTTTCTTGTTAGAACAAGAGAAGTATACAGAAATTTGTCCATGTGGGGGGAGGGGGGGGGATGTCAACCTTTTTTGAAAATCAAAGTTTTTATTTCTTCAGGAGGGCTTAGCCTTTTAGTTAAAACAGTAAGTTTTTATTTATGCTCTGGACTATAGGACATGACAAAGTTTCGTTAAGAACATCAGAAGGATATAAAAATTCACAGAAATTTGGTTCATTTTCAATTAAAACAGATCAATCAATTATTAGTCAAATACAAACCTTACTTAACATCCCATATGTTAATCTAGCTAAACATTAATGCACGAATTGAAAAAGTGCTACTTATTAAATTCAAATAATAATATGACCAAACCTGAGTTTTTCAGGCTCCTCTTGGATATCGTCGTTTTCAGATTGGTAGCAAATTTGCGGAATATGATCTGTTTAAAACTTAGAATATTATACTCCAATCTTATGTACAGGGTGTCCCAAAAAAACATGGGAATTCAGTGACGAATTGGATATCGTCTTTGTTATTAATTAGCATTGTAATACCTATTTTCAAAAGCCATAATATTATTATGTCTGCTAGAGTTTATTTTATGAAAAGGGTAAAAGACTGTAAAGATGTGTTTATAATGTCTCCACAAGATGAACAGTGAAGACGGATATGTTTACACTGTTTGTATACTGCAATTTTCTTGTTTTACTAAGTACAACCGTATGCAGTCAAAACATAAACAAACAAATTGTGAACATAGCAGACGGAACTCTTGGAAATTATAGCTTTCTCAGTAGGTATCACTATACTAAATCAAAGAATTATTTATAAAGACGATATCGAATTCGTCATTGAATTCCCATGTTTATTGGGACACCCTGTATATAATATCTGGTATAATTTTGACACAGTTTTATATCAATTTCTCGAGACAGGAACATCAGATAAAACTCTTATAGGTCTCGATCAACTTCTGAAGCTCTTTGGTTTCAACCTTTACCCCCTTTCATTTTTCCTTTACAGTCCCTTTAAACAATCGATGCTAACATCACCGAAATATTAAGGTGCAGTTCAAGTGATCAGCATTTGCCACTGGATTTTCTTGAAGCTTGGGAGGAAAGTCGTCTTTTCAAAGAGGTAACTTTTTACAAATATTTGATAGCTTTACCTAAGATCAATGTGCCAAATTGGATTTTAGTATGTGTTTAATTTTAAAATTAAATGTTGCCCTGCCGTTTGTTCTGTTTCCTATTAACGTGTAAAGAATAAAGATTTGAAATTATATATTTTCTAAGAACCCTAGAAACCAGCGACGTCGCACGACCAGTCCCATTAGGTCAAGATAGGTCAGATTAGGTCGGGTTACGTCAGATTACCAAATTGGTCGCAATATGACCAGTCCCTTTAGGTCGTGTTAGGTCAGGTTAGGTCGGGTTACGTCAGATTACCAAACTGGTCAGAACATGACCAGTCCCCCTAGGTCGTGTTTGGTCAAGTTAGGTCGGGTTAGGTCAAATAACCTAACTGGTCTGATACTGGTCTTAACCTGACCAATCCACTGAAGTTGGATTTGGTCGAGATTGGTTGAGTTATGTCAGGAGACCTAACTGGTCGGAACATGACCAGTCCTTCTAGGTCATGTTTGGTCAGGTTAGGTCGGATTAGGTGGAGTTACCTAACTGGTCTCATACTGGTCTTAACCTGACCAATCTACTTAGGTTGGATTTGGTCAAGATTGGTTGAGTTATGTCAGGAAACCTAACTGGTCGGAACATGACCAGTCACCCTAGATGGACGTCAAAAGTTTGGTCATTTGGACGTCAAAAGTTTGGTCATTTGGACGTCCAAAGTGACGTCATTTCGACTTCGAAAATTAGGTTGTGAGGACGTAAGAATCCTTGCGTTAAACGTCCTCAACACGTCCTCAACACCTAAAATACGACGTCGCCGGACGTCCCATTGGTAATTATTGACGTCGTCATGACGTCCTAAGGACGACTTCTGGTTTCTAGGGAAATATATTTTACCCATTTTTTTTAACAACAAATATTATTCAAAGGTTCCAAACACTGATCATATACCGAAAATATTCATGAAAATTTAAATCAGTGAAATTTGCAAGAAATCCGGTTTTATTACTTTCAAATAAAAATTTTAAACAGAAAACATTTGATCAAAATTATCAAAAATTTTTGGACATTAACGGTGGAACATTTCTTAACCAAATTTTAGATAATTCAAACTTTGATACACTCTGAAACAAAATTACTGGACGTTTTTTCTGAATCCGTAATGAATTTAATTGGAAGCCTTCGATGTATTTAAATTTACGAACAGTCCCTTTTAATTTAAAATTCGGTGATAATGATGGACCAAACCTCTATAGAGTAAATAGAGTAAATGTTAGTTCCACATTTATTGAAAATATATTTCGGTCTAGGTTGACCCTCGTCAGTTCTAACGATATGATAACCATCAAAATCGATAAGAAAATATGTTAAAACCACAAGAAAATCAAGAAACTGAAAAGATTATTATTTATAGGCTAATTCTGAAGTTATTGATATTCTGACCAGTATGAATGTGACAGCAAACTTTCATGTTTGGTGTCTCACCATGGAGAACTTTACAAAGTAAGATATCCGTCTGCAGGGTGTCCCACGAAACATGACCGTAGAAAGACGACTTGAAAGTCGTCTTTCAAATAATAATTTATTTGTGACATTCAGTTGTCAACATAGTTCAGCTTCATTAAAGATTTGTCAAATCGTTAACCACACTAGCAGTTGAAGTACATTTATTCTTTTCTGCAGACTGAGTATCAAGAATCTAGATATCCAAAGATGGAATTTAAAGAATTTGAGCCGTGGTTTAAATCCGCCAAAATCCGGTTTAAATTAAGCGCCGGCTTAAATCTTGAAACATTTGATACAATTTTAAGTGGAACCAACCATATTTAAACCGCGGCTTAAATTTAAACCGCCGCTCAAATTCTTTAAATTCGGCCACAAGTCAACCATGTTTATCCTATTCTGGGGAAAACCCATGGATTCCTTCGCGGCTGGACAAACTCCACATTTTTATCAAAATTCAAAGGTTACCACGATCTACTCTCAGCATTTAAGGTTGTAAACACAGAAGAATTTAAAAGCATCAAAACACTTTAAAACTAAATTTTTAACAAGTTTAGCGCAATTTTCAGCAGAAAAAAAGCGAAATTCACCGTTTAAAAAAACCGTTACGTTTTTGTTTGCAACTGCTAATTTTTTTTAAACGTCTAATCCGTTCTGTTAATCGTTTTTTCCGTTCGTTAACGGACTCTTCTGTTAATTTTCGAAAACCTCAATTCTCTTAACGGATCTTTGCCCAGACCTACTCTGAGATTGATTAAATTTCAAACTATGTAAAAAGATTTTTTTCACAAAACGAAAGAAGACGCTTTCTTTTCTTTTAAATAAAATACACCACTAAGTATGTTAAGGGAAACATTTTTTCAAATTATTATGCAAAAGTTTTTTTCCGACAAAGGGTGACACATTGGATGAAACCAACCGAAGCCAGATCAAAAATTTAACAACAAGAACCCAAAATTTTGTTTTTAATACCTTTAAAATGTTTATTTAATTTTGAGAGGAGTTTTCAATATTTCCCCTTGTAGGATAATTAAGAAACTTTTCATCCTGCTCTTACTTTACACGGATCATAGTACATGGTTGACACATATCTAATTGGTCCCGTTGTAGGGTAATAAAGTAATAAAGTAATTGGTCCCGTTGTAGGGTAATAAAGTTTAGTAAAATTAAATAAAACTGTCATTGTAATGGGTATCATATTCGTGCGAAAAAGTTTTTGCTGTGAGTTTTTACTTTTTATAATTCGATCAAAATAAACTAAAAATAAAACCTTTTTCCATTTTTAATAGATAGATAGTGATATCCACATTGCTTCTATGTAATTTTACAACGAAAAAAAACTAAGTACAAATACATTTTTTTTAATAAAAGTCAGTGTCCGAATTTAATAAGCCGCTTCTTAAATCCGTCAAAAACCGGTTTCAATTGAGCACTGGCTTAAATCTTAAAGCAATGAATACGATTTTAAAAGGAACCAACCATATTTGAGCTGCAGCTTAAATTTAAGCTGCGGCTCAAATTCTTTAAATTCGGTATCTGAATTTGTTTTTCGTAAAAAGGCTACAGATTATATATAATGTACAGATTCAGATACAGATTTGCAGATAACCCAAATAGCTAAAAATTGGTGTTCCTGTTTCCTCATTTTTATTATTTTTATTATTTTTTTTCTAGATATGAAATGGATACTTTTTGGACCCCACTGTCTCTGAACACAGACAAGGTCAGAAAAAAAAGTTATTTAAGCAGATCTAGAGTACTTCCCGTCCTTTTCTTAATATAATTTTAGCTTTAAAATTTTACTTTACATATATATATATATATATATATATATAAACCGTTTTTTTTGTCATATTGATAAAAAGTGAGACATGTTCAAATTCAGTTAAAAACTTGAATAATGACATAATTATACAATTTTTTTTTGGAAAACTGAGATTTCAGTTTCACTTTATTTCTGAAGTTTGGAAACATGTGTGAGTAATATAAAAATGATAATTTAAAAAAGAATAAATTAAGATTAAATAAAAAAATTAATTTTTTTTCAGGATGGATTGGAGTTTATTTCAACTATAGAAGCAAAGGAACATATTTAATTATTAATTGAAAATTTATATGATAATCATTCAGTTTTAATAAAACAATTTAACAATTTTCAGATACTATAATCCCTCATTTCAACCTCATTTTGAAGACTTTTATCTTTCAGACAAAATTTTCTTAGACCAATAACACTTTCATTTAAATTTTTAAGTTCGTGAAGAGAGTGTAAAGATCATTTAAGTGACTGATTTAAAATTTAGATCATTTTAATAAAATATATTATATTATAAAATCTATATATAAAATCTATTATGTTATAAAATCATAAAGAAAGGCATTTCATCAAGATCAATTATTCAATTCAATTCAATTATTTTTTTAACTGCTTAAAATATTTTTTTTTGAAATTGGCCTTAAAATTTCTTTTTTAAAATATGGTTTGAAATTAAATTGTACTTGGTCAGAATTATCCTTTCTATGGCACCCAATTTCACCCCGAGAAAAATAGTTTTGAAATAGGACACTATCCAACTATTCAACATTCAAGGTAAACATTTAAATAGAAATAAGAAAAAAAACAATGTCTTCTTTTCAAAGCTGGGTTATAAAATTCTAAATTCTAAAATCTATCTTTCTATCTATCTATCTATCTATCTATCTATCTATCTATCTATCTATCTATCTATCTATCTATCAGGGAGGCAGTGCTGGCAGGAAACTACTTTGCTCAATTTTTCTTGACAGAAGCTAGACGCAGCGAACATGAATTTGTTTCCAGGTACATAATATTGGGCATTATTTTCAACATAATATTATTTTCAACAACTTCCATTTTTCATTTTTGAATTATTTTAGTTTTGTTGTCTTTGTTTTGTTATGACAACAAAAGTTTTTATTTTAATAGCTGACCATCTTTACTCTTTTAATTAATGTTTCTTGTTA